CGAACACACTTTTGTACAGTAAAACAACTACTACCTGACTCCTGAAGGGAAGGGCGAAAGACCCCTCACCCCCTGTCCCAGGATCCGCCAATGTCTACCAACGAACATTTACAGCATGCGGTTCGTTCAAATTTCTCAACTGTAAGTACCACTGCTGCACGTTTCGATCAGCCATTGCGTGTTTATGCAGTCTCGAACCTAACCATAAAAAACCTGTACATATCCCCATTGATATATATGTACTATCGCTACTGATCAACTTCTTTATATGTATATCGGATTATATTTTTTCCCATTACTTCTGTGGTGTTGCTGCCTTTACATCTATACGGTACGTTCTCGTGGCCACAATGGGTTTAACATTACTACTACATTCACAAGCACCTGGATGTGCATGAATTTTCGAACTATCGCGTAATATATCAAAAAATAATGGTTTTTGTTAAAAATAGATTAAAGATCAACTGTGTTACTATGACGCAGTACCCCTGTCCGTGGTTCAAACTTTAACCGCCCTACCCTTATTGAACTTTCGATCTTTGTCCCCTGGGGTATAAAAGGACTCCTCCCCATCGCCGAGATCTCCACTACCGATCTTCAGCTGCGACTTACTTCTATATACTAATATCCCTATTCTGGGGAGCTTCGGCTCCCCAGTGCGTCACCTACGTTTTATGCCTTATCCTTTTACTTTACTATGTATTGATAAACACGAACATAGGACGAGACGTGTTACACACACATACAAACGGGGCACATACTAGTCTAATAATCTAACTATTAGGGTCGCGATAGAACTCACCGTTTCCAAGAAAAATTCCTGTGGTTAGTTGTGAGCAATTTTTGAGCACTATTATTTTACAGGGATTAAGAGATCAAACATCCCCAAAAGCTTCAAGATACAAAAGTACCTGCGGCGAGATCCAGGGGTTTGCCACCTTGGCCATGATTATCGTCATCGTCGCTGCCCGAATATTCGTATTCCGTTTCATCTAAATGTGATGCACGTTAAGAATAAAATAACTATAAAAATGCAAGCTTACCAGTCAATCGTTTGCCATTTCAAAACAATATATGCTAGATCAAGAGCAATATATCTATTGTGATAAATGTTGCTAGAGCCCAATTCTGCGTAAAGAAACTAGCCTCTTGTAATAATTTACCGCAAAATCATGTCGGCCTCATGATCAAAGAAAAAAAATACGCTGGCACACATACATCGAACAGGTGCAAGGGTACTAACTGGAAGTAAGCAGCCCAGGATCGAAGAGACTGACATGTGCAATGAAAACCGCCGGGATTCCCACTTGTTCAACTGTACCGGACCTTCTTTCTAATTAGAAAGGTGAAACAGGCGCCTACGAATGAAGCTGTAATAAAATGTACCTTTTTTATTGATTATTCTACGATGCCTGTCCTGATGGTCCTTGATTGCAATGCGTGTTTGCCGTTCAGGCGGCTGTTCACGAATAAATGGATGCCTGAGAAGCTGATCCGTGTAGGGCCGCTGATGATAGTCTTTTACTAATACTGTTTCGATAAAAGATTCGAATTTTTTGGACCTATAAAAAGAAAAAGAGAAGCTGAAACGGTGGACTGGATTAACTGAAGCAAAAGCTGCTGCTATCAATAATCAACAATGACGAACTCTTATAACAAGGAAGGAAATGATGAGAATTACGTCGTATTTCAAAATTTTTTTTCAAAATACTAATCAAAACGCCGGCTATCCAAATTTCAGTTTTCCAATTTTTAACAAAAACCCTAGATTTTTAATCGGTTAGTAAATGAACGAAACTGCTAGTAAATTCAAATAAAATTCATTTAAACCGATACAAGAAATTCTCGAAAAAAAATGCGAGGAGGGTTTTAACCTATATGTTTCCCAGGAATTCAGTATAGCCGAGCAGCTTATATAAAATCGCGAAATTTATTATCCTAGAAGTTTGCATAATTTAGACCCGAGACGAAGAAAGCTAGAAAAATGAAATTTTGCAAGCAGCACATGAAGTCAGGATTTTAAACTTGTATTATCCCAGCCGATAAGTAGTTCAGATTTGAATTCAGAGTGACTTATTTCCAGGTCGCAAGAAGTTAAAAAGTTTCAGAATTTTACAGTTTACAGTGGGTGAACGAAATAGAAGTTAGTATATACTAAAACTGCATTTGACACAAAAGGGACCAAACTGCAAAAACACTACTGCAGCCTTTCTCCTATTGCAAAATCCCTCAGCAGTCCTCAGTTTTGAGGAAAAAAATGGACATCAAGGAGCATCGCAAAATTCTAGCTTCCTGCAGCTCCCTAATCAGTCTCGTATTTATTTTATTTTCTATTACTTGACTCCCTGCACTCCATTCTCATCCTCGTATTTTTAACAGAACTCCCCAAGTTTCGAAATTATTTCTGATTAACTACAATTTTAAGTAGTACTGCCCTATTCTGATTCACTTCACCCTTATCCTTCTTGTATGAGTTGAAGGTGTTGTCTGCTAAAGTTTAGGAAAATTTCATCAAAATGTAATTAAACAGCTAAACAGGAATGCTTCGGTCATTAAAGTCGTATACATTCTTGCTGAGCACCACAACTGGGTCTCGTCAATATCACTTTTTTGCGGTCCCAAATTATTATTTTTTGACCATTTTATGTGTCATATTTGTGACTGCCGCTGTGAAGATGTAAATGTCTTGAGCATACGCCTATATGTGTGCATGTATGCATGCATCTGTGTGTGGAAAAATTTCTTCTTTGAACAGCGTCTTAATCAATTCCTCTAATGAATGTTTTGGAGGGGGGAAAAAGCACACTAAGCTGGCGATTTCATTTTTTCCCCCGACAAAAAAACACCAAAGATAAATGCCTGCCACGGCCAATTCTAATAAACCAGTAATTTCATTTTCCATTTGACGAAGACGGAGAAAACTGGGGTGAAAAATGTAGGACAAGGAAAACAGAACGGCAACGTTCGGGGCATAAAAAATGTTGCGCTTCAAAGTTCAAAAATATGAAAAAAAAAAAAATGTCCTTTTGAATGCTTCTACCATTGATATCCCCTCACTGCTTTTCTTTTGCGCCAGTTGCTGCTCGATTCGGTGATTTTCACTCAATGAACCCGATGTCACAGGGCTAGCCCTTGCTCGCAGGTCAGGTCAGGGAACAGGAGGTTTTGAGCGATGGATTACGAGCAACGAAACTGTGAAACTTCACGAATCTGCAGCTCACTTCGTTTTCAAGTTGTCCTGCCTGATTGTTTCTCGCCCATTTTATTCAGTTCGAGGGAATGCTACTAAAATTGGACCAAGACTGCAGCAGGTCATGCCAAAACAGGACGTTTTAAATAAAGCAGCTCATTTCTCTACTGTACTCCTACCCCCATCCTTAACCCATCCAATCATAAGAAACGGCAACCCACGGAAAAAGTTCATCAAGGATGCTCCCATTGCTCAATTTAGCAACAAATGAAAGTTGGGAGAAGCAGACGCATACCATTTTTTGCCTCGTTTCAGTCT